GACGATCGATAGAAAATAATAAATAAATAGTGATACGTAGGATTTGGGACGGATACGTATCACTAGAGGTCACTAGATAGGATATAAATAGAAAACTGTAGTCATATCAATGAAAAAATACATATATTTATATCAATAAAAAATAGTGATATCGATAAGAGTACATGAATGTCAGAAAATAAAACCTGGAGTCTAAATATAAAAAAAAATGTATTCATACAAAATCTGACACAGTATTATCGCCCACACTACGTAAATAACACATAACAACTTGGAACAGTCAAGCATTTTATATTTAAATTTGAATAGACGTGGATTACCTTAACAAATTTAAACACAACCATTTGAGCAATGACATTGCAAAGTTTGCTAGAAATAAAGAGTCGCCTGTTTCTTCTAAAAATTTAATGTAGAAAATGAAATGAATGTGTAAGAAAATATAATCAAAACAGTAAAATCGTAACAGCACATGAATAGAAGAATTACTGTGAACAAAAAAGTAAATTATGGTCAATTTTAACATCTATTATCTGCCTACTGAGTGAACTGCACTGTTTTGAGGTTCTGCGCACAGTCGCTGCGCATCAGTCGCGGCGCGATTATCGCTCAGACTGGTCCTCGGGGCAGTGGTCCGCGACTGTAGCTGGCGACTCTTGCGATGGTCGCTCCAAGCAAAACAGGACAACGCAAACTCCGTCAGAGCAGTGCCCGGCTACTATCGCGGAGCGATTATCGCCAAGCGACTATCGCTGCAATCGCTCCAAGCAAAATAGGCCTTTACTCACACACGCGCAGCCACACTCACTCGCACGGTCCGGTCGACCCGCCGCTAATGGGTTTTCTATGAATCGCTTGCTAGCCCAAGTGCTACAACATCACATTTTTATAACTTTAAATTTCATCCAATTTGTATTTAAATAACTAAACTCTGAATATTATTACTTGCAAAATGAGTCCAAACACGATACAAATCTGACAACTCTAAGTGGTTTTAGTTATTTAAAAATTTAGAAAATTAATACCACGGGGCTTTTATTACGTATTGCATATTGTAATAACCAAAGGTCCTAAATTAAATAACAGCAGTTAGATCAATGACATGGAAACAGTTTTCAATTAATTATTCTAGAGATGACTAAACACTGTTTGCAAATACGCTGTAGTCCCATAACTAGTAATAAATTAGGTATGGAAACAAGGTAGAAATATTAGTTTAAAAAGGTAAGGACAAACTATAAACAAATTAATCTGTGTAACATAAAACAGAGTTATCTATATAAATAAAATTAGAGTTTTGTCTGTACATTGCTCAGAATTATATACTTTTAGGTTATTTTTACGTTTTATACATTAAAGAAGCAGAAACGAGTCTTATCTCAATTTCTGTCTGTCTGTCTGTCTGTCTGTCTGTCTGTCTGTCTGTCCCTTTGTCTGTAACACTCAAGATTGCATTTTACGCAATCTTCTCCGTGAAAACCAGAGTACATATCAAGATCCAAGTCATTTTAATGTATTCACTGGATTGGCGAGAGTGTCTTTAGTGATTTAAATATAGCCTCACTACTTTGTAAATAAAATTACGGACGTTCAAAAATGCAGTTTTGTGCGATTTTTGTCAAATTTTCGTCCAATTTTTATCACATAATCGTCTATGAAATAACGAACAGCTATCCGGATCAAGATTATTTTTTCTAGCTGTCAATGACATGTTTACAAATGGTGTTTACAAATACCGCAACTATTTCGAATCACGTTTTGAAAGCAAATCCCAACCAAGTGAGATTAAAAACGTTTTTCTTACATAACGGATTTAATTAATCGCAAGTGCAATAATATAGTCTAATAGTGTAACCGTAAATGAAATTAAATAACTAGACATCGTCCAAATCGGAACCAGAAATTCTTTGAGTATAAAATGTTTCTTGAGTTTTGACAACCAGAAAGAAGACCTTGAATCAGTGTTGTATAGGGCTGTGACACTGAAATGGTCGTCGCCAATAGCTTACAAAAAAGGTTTCCACTCATTGACGGCGCTTCAATGGCGGTTGTGTAAAGTGTAAAGTAAAAAATCACAACTGCAGTGGGTGATTGTAACAGAGGTTTAACAGAGGAAGTGCTAAACTCGCTTTTCCAATGTGTCACTTTCTGTTTCTACTCACCGTGTGATGCAATCGCTGGACCATACAGCCAATAGGCCCATAGCTCATATCTTGGGTACGTAAGCCTACATATTTATTCATAACAACCTTTTTGACAACGATCCTTGATACCGGTACTTTTACATAGAATACATGGCCTACCTACTTAAAAAATAAAATTACAAATGACCAAAACCCCACATTGTGTGATTTTCGTCAAATTTCCTTCTAATGTTAATAGATATACTAATCATTGTTTAGAGAATGCGTAATCTATTAAATAACAAAAAGTTGTTTGGGTAAGGTTGCTTTTTTTTCAAACTGACACCGATAAGTTTACGCTATAACTTTTTACGAGAAATTCCAAATCTTAGCTTACCCGGTATGCTAAGAAAATGATAACCTATTTGAGTAAAACATTTGTTGGGCAAACCATCATGCATTGTTTACGCCTTTATATTGTTTATGTATCAATAGTTCGTGGCCTTTGTTGGATTGTTGTATTGTGTTGTTTTGTTGTATGTTGGTAACGCATTAATGTCCTTATTTCTCTGTGTTTCACGGAATGGACAAGAGCACCTTTGATACTGAAAATGTCAACCGGAATAAAGTGTTAAATGGTGAGGTTGAGGTAGTACTGCAAATACGTTTAAGTTAACCGATGTGGAAAAGTAACTTTCAATTATAGGCCTACTTTAGGGCTACGCTTCATGGATCTATAAAACATTTTTTAGTTTAATCATTGGACATATGGACCAACACGATCCGGGTGACATTTAATTGCGAAGCATTTATTTTGGCTTGAACTGTCAGATACTGTATTTGCGAAGGTTTATATATAATAGTTTTGCCAGCATATCTGCAAATATGCAAACTAATTGCTGTTCTTAATCTTAATATAAGAAGGTTTCAACTGACTACTATAAGATCCCCGTGCGTAGAACGGGCACACAGCTAGTTATAATATAAGGAAGGAGTTTGGAAACACGCAGGGTTGAATCCCCGGCATTCGTCGTGGGTTTATGAGCCACACTTAGCGGAGAAGCGGAATCTGGAATTTAAATCACTTTTAAGGGATGTAAAATTGCTATGTTAATATGCTCCTGTTAGTTTAATCATGTTACTAATATTTTTTACTTCAGTTTGCGCGATCTGTAATCTAGTGTAATTTTAATTTTCTTCCGTATCGGCTTATGAATGTAAATTGTATAAAATATGTACGCTATTTAACGTTGCTATGTAAATTTGCTAATGTTAGTTTGATTTTATTATTTTTTTATTTTTACTTTTTTGCGTTCAATAAATTCTCTACAACCATTTATAAATAGTCGAAATTATTATTTTTAAACCTACTGGCCCTAAAACCACTTAGAGTTGTCATAATTGTACCGTGTTTGGACTCATTTTGTAAGAAAAATTACCAGTTTTAAAAATGTGATGCTGTAGCACAAGGGCTAGTTGGTGATTCATAGAAAACCCACTAGCGGCAGGTAGGCCGGGACGTGCGAGTGTGTGAGTGTGTGAGTAGGGTCGCTCTAATCCTCCAGGGCGCACGGGACATTGGACAAACTATATTTGTGTTGCAGCTGAACCTAAAAACGTGCTGTATAGTGTTTGAAAGACTAATTATTTATATGCTTTATAGTGACTGTAGGAAAAATATAATGTGTAACACGAGTGCAAAAGGCTTTTGCTGCACTTTGCTCACTAGTTACACAAATAACTATTGTTAACTTCGCGAACATATGTTTTAAAATAAAAAACAAAGTTTAAGTGTTTTAATCGGGTAAATTATTAAAACTATTTTACTCTTTATTAAATTTTCCGTTAAAATGCTTGAAACTTCATTATTTTTCAGCCATTCTAAGTCCAATTACTTTGGTTTGAGCCATATCACATGATTCTACTACTTACCATACTCTTAACTAACTTACATAAAAATATACAAATACGCAAATAGTAACAGTAAAATAATAGATTTCAACATTCTAAGTCATAATTTAATAAGCCTCAATTATAGGTAATGATATCCCTGGTGTTATGGTATACAGTGCGTTGCAGAATTGACTGGCAAATATGTGTTTCAAATGTTAATATTGCGTACTGGCTTACTGCTAAATCACGATCAGCAGTATTGAAGTAAACAAAAATCACCTGCCAACATTTAGAATGTTATTCTTATTGTGAAGATTTTACCTTATATCTTATTTTGTGTTAAAAGTTTTGGAATTTCACTATTTTTCTCACCATCACGGGATAGGGGCCTTTAATTTGAGATCTTTTTCATCGTTCTACGACTTTCCGCAATTGTGACGCAAAGAATCGGCTAACGTAATTAAATGTATAAATACTGACTAATGCCCATACTGAACATTACAATGTACAGTAATGGTTCTAACCTTGATAATTTCAATATTGTTATGCTATACCTGTTCTTAAGTCAATCATAAGTAAAACCTTTCTCTGGGTTTAGTTTGTTTACTAACATACTCGTATAACAGTAAAACACCGATGAACAATGTTTATTTAAAATCAATTATTTTACCTTTTTGGTAGCCTAAGGTGTCCAAAATTCTTATCTCCTGCGAGACGCGTTTGCATCTTCAGTCGCTGTCACAGGTCTCAACATTGCCCACAGAAGTGGTTGTAACAATTTACAAAACATATTAACACAGTTCACGAAACACATATTTATATACAGTTTTACGACCATGGTCACACACGTACATCAAGCGAGCAGGAGAAGACACGTGATACTGCACAAGGTTGTATGCCTACTCAGGTAGGTTTATTTAAAGACCTTCACTGCGAATCCTAATGACCTACCGTATCTCTCATACAATGCTATATGTTTTTTTTCAGGAAGGGGTCTTGATGGATAAAAACCCTTCATTCAAGGGTAAGTTCAGACCTAATGGTTTCATTAAGATTCAAACTTATAAATAGAGACTAATAACTTTTTTATGAATTACTCCATCAGCTCATTACTGCTATCTATACAGGTTGATTGGTATTCAGTGACATAATTTTTTGGTTTTAAGTACAAAGTAAATGAAGTGTGATGATGCTTATCAAATGTTCCAAGTCAAATTAGCTTCCCAAAAAATTATTTCATGTTTTAAAAAATAATTTGAGTAGATAATGTAATTTTCGTGTTCTACATTAAATTTTGAACAAGAATAATAGAAAAATGACGGAGGGTCAGTTGTAAAAACTCCATTGTAAATTGATTCAAAGATAAAAATTAAGATGTTTGATAATAATTTAAAAAAAAACAATGGTCTATTGCATTTTTCACACCCTGTATACAAGAAAGTGTTGGAATATGTTAAAAACTGCGTCATTTTATAAGCTTTCCAACAATATGCTACACTATTAGGGATTCTTGCTACACTAAAGTGGGAATATTGGTGGTAGATTTATTTTTCATGTCCACCTTCACATCCAAAAACGCTAGGTTCTAGCCCAGAACTATTTCACATCTTCTCAGGGTAGTTCTAGAGGGTTGCGGCATTACCATATGTATAAAGTCGATTGGTGATTGGCGGGATTTGAACCTGAGACCTGAGTCTCCGAAGATCCACACTCTCCCACTAGACCAGCTCGCCCAGAGGTCAACAAAGAGTCTCTGTGATTGGTCCGTTCGAATTCATATCACTCATTTTCTACCATCCCATCGCCTCAGTAAATTGTATAGAAGTATAAATCTTCTCTATTAGATTAAAACTAATAGTACTAAGATTCATAGATTGGAGTTCTCGTTTACTTAACTCACATTTTAGTTAAATAAAAGTTTATCTGTTGATAGATGAGTGAACTAAGTGACCGAATCGCTGTAGCGGATTTTTATCCCCCTGGAATTTTACCGCTGGGCAAAACTGATGTCACAAACCAGGTGGTAAAATTCCGGCCGCGAACTTTCGAGTTGCACAACATCAGTTTGATGGATTAAAGGTGAAACTAAACGCATATTTTTACGGTTGTGAATTTAATCAGAACGCATCAAATTATAAAAACCTAGAGTGTACGGGCCGGAATTTTACCCCCGGACTTTTACCCCATGGCCAGATATATTTTCTTTTTTTTTCAGTTTTAATTTAATAGTAAACGTTGTATTATTAAGTAGCCTATCTTAATTTATCTGTAACCCTAACTAATCAAACATGTTTTTAATATTAACTAGTGTACATGTTGCTCGAATTCGAGCAATTGTAAAGTATTACAGGATTTGCAAAGCAATAACAATCATACTTAGCTATCAACATTTCAACAAAATCACACCTACCTTCCCTGTAGCAGCAAACCTTAGTCCTCATATTAAAATTAACTTAATATTATTTAGATAGGAAAAAAATGACCATTTTAAGGGAATAATTAACCTTTGTTGAGCGGAGCGAGCGAAGCTCTTTGGGATCAACTTCAATGCAACAAATAGAGAAACATCACTCAATAACGGCTGAACGCATTTTAGTAAAACTTAACAAAATTACTTAGACTAATAGTGAGATGGTTTTTAAAGAAACAAATTTCAATTAGATATTGCTAATGCAATTTAAAACGAACTTAAAATTTCCAATTTTTAACATTAGGCTTATGGGACTAAAGTAGCCATGACAGGTTTTTTGTTTACAAGAAAAATGTAAACAAGATACCCATAAGGTATTTCTGAACCTTCTAGACTTTTCTTTTAAACGTTTTTAAGCCATTCCTATGATCCTAATAAACCAGAAAATACCGTTAAAACATTTTTTTAAGGCGCGGAATTCACTGCAAATCGAGAAAATATACGGAACTACTTTCTCAATACGCGGAGCATAAACAAGGAGCGGAGGGATACGGACCGGTGACTACTTTCTTGGGAACCTATATGTGTTGCCAGCTGATTAGAAACAGCCAATGTTAGAAATCAGAATTTAATAAGCGATATATCGAACCGCATCGAAATCGATATTTACTCTCAAATCACGTTTGTTCCGCTCAACTGGCTTTTACCTCTCTGAAAGCAACCCTAGTATTAATTAAGCCAGGTAAATGGAAATTCGCTTAGTCTGAAGGTTTGCTGCGGAAACACAATTTTAATAACAGCAAAGATTGAAGAATCTGAATTACTTATACCATGAATTTATCTAACAATTATTTCCTGTAAAATATTATTACAGCAGTTCAAAAATATTGAAACTAACTCGATCAACAAATGATGTTGAAAGAATTCCATACTAATGGCATTAACATATAGTTTGACAGTTCCATTTAATCAATGTTAAATGTTAACATTCGGGCATAGACAAAAATGATTCGGGCGAGTGACATATTTGATAATTGTTTATGATCCCTACCGTTCCTGTTCTAATAATCATGCAGTATTTAATATGTTTGAACCAGCTGTGTTGAAATCAAAATTAATTTGACAGTTAGTTCTGTTTGTTTACATTTTTTTATTTTGTGGGTTTGTTCTTTGTTACCATAGATACCATCAATAAATATTTCACTCTTAATTTCTGACAACAGCTGGAGTTCCATAACAAATTTTGTTTTCCATGTTAATCTTATGGATAAATACGAAACTTTAAAGGGCCCCAGGGCCTCACTCTCTAATTATTTCCTTAGAAAAAAAAGTTTCCTGCACAACTTCACGTTACGCTCTTTCCAGTGACACTAAAAACATGTCAATTGGTTCAGTAGTTTCGGAGGAGTAATTGTCACAAAAAACCTGCTTGCGTATTAAATAAGTACTAGTGGACCTGTGCGGTTCAATGCCCCGCAAAATGACATATGAATTTAGAAAACAAATTCATCGCATTATATATTGACTCGACGTCGAAAATTAAATGCAGTAATAATGAAGCCTTGGAAGGGAAGCAGTTCAGCCATTTTCTAGCTGTATGTGTATTACATTTAGTAAATTAATAAGTGTTCAGGTTCAAGTATGTTATAGGCAGCGAGCAAGGTTATAGGGTAGTTATTTTTTAAAGATTTTTAAAACACATTTAACAAAAAATTTTATCATATCAAACCAATAGGCCTATGTAGCATATTTTGAGGGTCATAAAAATGCTGCTTGAAGAAAACACACTTTTAAAAATAAACACTAAAAAACAATATCTTTATCACAAAATCACTTCCATGAATACTACGATTTTAGCCTTAAAGTTACCTTCAGGAAGATTACCCTGGTCAGAGTTTTCCGTAACAAATATGCGTATCCTATTAAAAGATGTAGCCTTACTTAAAACAACATATAATATAGTTGCTCATGACTCAATTGGTCTGGGTAAGAACAGCGCTGCAAATGCCAAAGGTAACAGAAATTAGCATCTTTCCATTTTGAAAGGTAAGTTTGTTTCAGACGGGTAAATCTTTATCCTCGAAATCAAAATATGTCCCCACTCACTTGTTCCAGTTAAGACTTTACATTCTATTAAGTTGTTAACCATTGATTCTGATCACATGAAGCCTTGTGCCCTTTTTGATATATTAATATTCCTCATCAATAAAACCACTGCCCCCTTTTATTAGTCTAATCTGTTTCTTGGCCATCCACTGACCTCTATATTTAAAAACTCAGTTGGATTTTCTAGATAGGTGTCTCCGCCTTCGTCTGTTTTTAAGGACCCACTCTTCTTCCCCTTGGTATACTGACAATTAATTACCTGACTTGTCAAGTTCATGTAGTAATTCAATAATACTGTTAGTTTATAAAGAAAATTAGATAAAAGTTACTTGGCTTGGTGCTTTCATAACTGCAAACTCAAAATACACCCACAAGTAAAAAAGAATGGTCAAAAAAACTATGTGTAATAACATTATTCACATGAAGTAGGTGATTTGTTTGATTTGTCGATCAGCTGTTTAGTTTCAAATGAATTAATAATGTCAAAGATTTGTGATTTAAATACATAAATTATTATAGTAAAGTTTTCTAAATCATGGTAACTTGTTCTCCACTAAATTTTACTATTCCCAGCATTAAAATAAAGTATTAAGATCCATTATGGGTAAACTTTAAGGTAGGCTACACAATCCTTGATTGAAATGTAGTAGGTATACATTAAGAGTTATAATACACAGCAATTATTATGTAGTAGACTTTGACTATTTTCAAGTAGCAAACATATGTTTCTGGAAATAAAAATTATCTCCCATGTTATCCTTATGGAGAAATACGAAACTTTAAAGGGCTCCAGGGCCTCAATATCTCATTATTTCCCTAAAAAGAAAGTTTCCTGCACAACTTCACGTTACCCTCTTTCCAATGACACCAAAAACATGTCAATCGGTTCAGTAGTTTCGGAGGAGTAATTGTCACAAAAAACCTGCTTGCGTATTAAATAAGTATAGATACTAGTGTACATCTTGCTCGAAATCGAGCAATTGCAAAGAAGTACAGGAGTTATTTACAAACAAATTACTTGGTTGAAAACTTATAACGGTCATAATTTCCAATGATTTTAAAAAAGCAAAAGAGCCAACTAAAAGATTATCAACCAATGGACTTACAATTTACATAACAGTCCTTTTCCATTTTAAAGGGTGAATTTTTAACAATCAAACTGCCCATGGACGGGAAAAGGTAAGCTTACAATTTAAGGTCGACGTAAAAAAAGGCTGTCAGCTTTTATTAAGTACCGTACCTAAGTTATCTAGCCAATTCGTAGACAATAAGGTGTAAGCTACTTTAAACTCTACAGGACAAAGTTAGGTAATAACTGGCAGAAATCTGAAATGGTGTTATTTATCATAGGCTTAGTCATATGCCAAATCCTTAAAACTTAAAATAAAAATTTAATAACTAACTTATATCATTAAACACAAACCAACATCCAAAACTATACACATTTTTAATACAACTTCGATAATTTACACATTGACTGTTTACAACATATATTTTTCTTCTCACTATTAATTTTTGCTTCGGAACGGGAAACATTTGTTTCATAATTATTGAAATAGATTTATAATAATCTATCATATAGTTTAAGATTAAATAAACCTACCACATAGTTGTTTTATTTTTTTTTTATCAGCTGTCTAAAATTGTGAAATAGGCATTTGACAGTTCTGGTTGTTTACATTTAAATGTCAAAGCAAAAGTAAACATTGTGAATTTTCTCATGCTTCCATGGAGACCAATTATCAATATTTAATTTCTGACAACAGCTGGAGTTTCAAAACAACTTTTGTTTCCCATGTTAATCTTATGGAGAAATACGAAACTTTAAAGGGCCCACTCTCTAATTATTTCCCTAAAAAGAAAGTTTCCTGCACAACTTCGCGTTACGCTCTTTCCAATGACACCAAAAACATGTCAATCGGTTCAGTAGTTTTGGAGGAGTAATTGTCACAAAATTCCTGCTTGCGTATTAAATAAGTACTAGTGTCCCTGTTGCTCGAATTCGAGCAATTGCTAAGTAAATATTTGTAGCAAACTGTTATAATACTATATTAGCAAACTTATTGACTGTTTAGGATTAACCTATGCTCTTCTTCTCACTTTTGATTTCTGACAACAGCTGGAGTTTCATAACAATTTTTATTTCCAATGTTAATCTTATGGAGAAATACGAAACTTTATAGGGCTCCAGGGCCTCACTCTCTCATTATTTCCCTAAAAAGAAAGTTTCCTGCACAACTTCACGCTACGCTCTTTCCAATGACACCAAAAACATGACAATCGGTTCAGTAGTTTCGGAGGAGTAATTGTCACAAAAATCCTGCTTGCGTATTAAATAAGTATAGATATATAGATAATATATATATATATATAGATTTTGATATTCGAGTTTCGGGATTAGATTTTTGGAACTGTTGGTTAATATGTATATACAAACAAATGGGTTTCATTGCAGTAGTCAACACGACAATTGGTTGAATACTTTGTACTGAATGCCTACAACTACATTTTACAACAGGTATTTCGATTACCTTTCTCAGTACAAACCATGAAATAATATAGCTCATTGTTTGTGCCTAAAGAAACAAAATGCATGAGTTATTGAACAACAGAAACGAAATAAATTGTTTTTCCACAGTGGTAAGCCTATAATAAATCGTTTAAGAAAAGTTCGCCCATTTATCACTTAAATGAGATACAGTACTCAATTTGTTATACATACTTATTAACATATATAAAACATACTCCCTTCGTATGATATTGGCCAACAGTTGACCCCAAACCCAAATCCCGAATATCAAAATACTAGTTGAGATTACAAATAAATTAAGATAAGGCTACCTAATAATAAAATATAAATTAAAACTGAAAGAAGAAAATTATTCATTCTCAATAATTTCTTCATCTGACTCGGTGGTAAAATTCCGGGGAATAAAAATCCAGGCGTAAAAATCCAGGGGTTACAAATCCGGGGGTAAAAATTCGGGGGTAAAAATCCAGGCCGTACATTCACATTTGTCTAAACGCTTGCTATTTAGACAGGGGGTAAAATTCCGGTTTTTATTGCTAATATAATTAATCACGCTCAGTTTATGTTCATTAGACTTCCAAATCCGCGGGGGTAAAATTCCGCCCGCGAACAAACTTAAGAGCGCTCAGGTTACTACGTCATAGTGACGTCAGCTTTACCCAGGGGGTAAAGCTCAGGGGATAGAATTCCTGCGACCCAACGAATCTATGTATCATGTATAGCGGAGTAGGAGATCAAAGGTCCGCTTGTCAGATTGTCTGTGTGATCGGGTCGCGAAAACTCAAGAACCGTTGCACTAATAGCATTCAATTATTTTGCACAAATAATTATGACACCATTGGAGAGACGATTCCGCTTGGTAGCATCGATGTATATAACCTAACTGGATCGCGCCCTGCAACGAGAGTACAGCGCTGAAAACGAGTCGGCGCTCAATAGGCTCCCCCCACCACAAGTGGGGTATCACCATACCCACGCGGCGCCGAAGAATGACTCGTGCGTTGACTTCGGAGTTTAAATGATACATGTTGACCTATCGGATTTAAATGCTCATTTGCTCAAATGAAAACCGCTAATTTTAATAAATAATTTGATACCAATTGTTATAAACTAACTGGAATAGAACTAGAGTTATGGATCGTTGATTAAAAACAAAACCTGAAATATTTTTTATTTTCGTTGTTTGGAGGCTCACAGTTCAGAAAGAATCTTGTCCGATTTGAATAGCTAAAATCTCAAATTAAGGCCCATAATTTATTGATTATTTCTATTTTGAAACATATAAAATACATGAACAATACTGAAGCTATTTATTTTTAATCATCGAAAGACCTTATAAAAGATACATTTTATTTTTGTTGTTCACCTTGCATTTGCTTGAAACTCGTCCGATTTGAATACTAATAGCTTAAATGAAAGCCGGTATTTCACCAAATGTCTTTAGACCTAAACATATGACGTATCACAATCATAACTTGAGATACTAATCTTTAATTGTAGTAAAATTTCGGAAAAATTCAAATATTCCTTCATTAGAGGCTTATAAATTACCTTAATCTTGTTTGATTTGAATGATTGACGTCTCATATGAAAACCCGTAATTTAACAGTTATTTCAAGACCAAAACGAAGTCTTTGGCTTCCTTCATTCAAACTGAAGATATATGAAAAGCTATAAGACAATTTTTAGAATTATAGCTCCCTATAATATGTACAGGGTGTCCTGGAGCTCCAACTCACTACCAATATTGTGGGGCATTGCTCCTGAGTAAGAAACAGATCTATATATGATATTTAATTTGTCCGGAAGTCCTTATTTACTCACACAACCGCAATTTTGTTTTTCACTTATTAATTTTTTTCTAAAAAGTGGTTAATTTTGAGTTAATTATGAAAGAAAATTGTAAATAGCCGACATTTTGTTTTATGAATTTGAAATATTTTCAATAATTCTTTGTAGCTTTGAATTGTTGTCATAAATGTTTGTGCAAAGTTTCAATTTCGTATCTTTAACCACTCTTACGAAAAAAAAATTATAAGTGAAAGAAACAAAATGGTGGCTGTGTGAGTAACTAAGGACTTCCAAGCTAATGAATTCATATGTGCTTTGGGCTTTGGCATCAAAGATGTTTGCTAGCAATGTGTTCCGAGACCACGGATCAAACAGAGGTCTTAGTGAAGACAATCATGATCTTACGCTCATTAAAATTATATGCATGTTGTTTTAAAAAGTATATTGCCAAAAGTATTTAAAAAAACCTAAAAAGTAATGTTTCAAACCTCGGCGTTCGGCAGAAGCTAAATAAACTTATTTTGTGTATCCAGGTCTATCAATGGCAAATGATTGTTATATGTAAAAGCTGTATTGTTGATTAGATTATTTAACTTGTAAATATATCTACGACAGTTGTTTAGTTTTATTAGCTTTGATTATTCTACATCGTAACTACTATACCCAGGAAATGTCTTACAGTACTGTAGTTTTTCTTAATATTGTAAGAGTAAAAAAATAATTTTATATAATATGATTTAATGTCAACGGATGTACTATCCAACCCAAATGACAGAATAAAATAATCCATATCAATACATATACCATCAAAACTGTGTTATAAATCCAAGACTACAAGAAAGTTTAATTTAAAATATGTGTTCTGGGTCGGAATATTATAATTTAAAGAATGTACCTATGAAAAATAATTACATACAGTACCATACACGAAAAGAGAAATTCGTTAAAACATTTTGGTGATAATAAATAAGTAAAAATGTGCGATATGTCGGCGGTCACAATGCTACTTCAATGCTATGGCCCACTGCGGTTCCCCACTTGTGGTGGGGGGAGCGGCGCGGCGGCGGCGGACCGTTTTCGTTTACCAGCCGAGCGCGATCCAGTTAGGTTATATACATCGATGCTTGGTAGTAACAATAAAACCCTAAAAATACAATTTTAAATTTGTCCCATAATAATAACATTAGAAGCTACCTTCTTCTTTTTAGCGAAATTCCCCTATAGGGAATAAGCTATTACCGTAGTACTCATGGTAAGACCTGGACCCGGGACCGATTTACTTTTTCGTTTTGAGGTCCCTAGAGACCAAAAACACCATCCGTTCAAATATATATATATATATATATATATATATATTTATTTATATATGTGTCCGTTAGCACGATAACTTGAGCAAAAATCATCCGATTTTGATGAAATTTGGTACAAACGTGTAAACCTACGTTTATTTGAACAAGTTCGCGAACCAGCATGATCGGACTATGGGAACAGGGGTTTATGGGGGGTTTTATGAGGCAATAATTAGTTTTTCCCATTTTTTACCCTTAAAACTTAACATTTAGCATTTTCTTTCCAAACCATTTTGTAGAGCTTAAAAAACAAATAATTTAGTATATTGAAGCGTTATTATGCGCCTATTGATTACGGAGAAAATTCCAAAAAACTGTAAATTTAAAATTCCCATGTTATTCTTATGGAGAATAAGTAAACTGTTCTAGTTTGCTTGTTTATGATCATATTTTAATAAAATTTGGATAATGCATTCATTTCATACTAAGCTATTAACATTTTACAAAAACACCTTTTTACCCCCCCTGTTGCAGCAAACCTAAGTACTCGTTAAACTAATGTTATTTAAATAAGGAATAAATGTGATATTTTTAAGGAGGCATTTTAGTGTAAATCCAATCAGGCAAATGGAAATTCACTTAGTCTGCAGGTTTGCTGCGGCGGGGGTATTATTTATTTACATTCACCTCCAACAATTTTGTTGTTTACTTTAGGCAAAGAGAAAATTTTTTTCCTATAAACTCTTTCATTCATAAGGTTATCATTAATAAGGCATTTTAAAATTATTTGCAATTGTGTTCTGAAATGACTTTTAATTTATAATTATTGTATTAACAACCTAAAACCAATTTTCAGATCAAAGATTAGTTGAGGACGACTCAAGCTTTAAAGAAAAGAAATTTGAAGTTAAAAGATACTTTAAAAAACATTCCAAAACGTCAGTAATACAATACATCATCCTTGAATGCTACAAAATTAGTGATCCAAAATCATCAAGAGGAGTTACAACTTTCTTCGGGATAATTAAAACCACGCAAGGACTTATTTTGGCAAAAGTAAAAGCCTTAAACTGTTTTGATGATTTAAATATATTTAAAATCGTTTTGAGTTATGTTATGATAAAGAAAGGTGATGGAAGCGGAGCGTCTCTTGATCTGGACTTCACAACCCCACCAGAACTTGGCCAAAAGTCTTGGTTCTACGGAAGTGCAACTGCAGATACTGAAGTTATTTTGTTCATGGAAAAGTCAAAAAGTCCTCATTATAATTTATGGAGCATGGTACGTAAGTTACAATAGTACAATAATGGGTTTAAAAACAAACGATAAAAGATTATACGTTACTCCACCTAAAGTGACGGGTACAATTTGATCTCGTCAATATAAGTTTACATTGAGCATTCAAACCCTTTTGCTTGTATATTATATTTGTAAATTAATTGTTTGAGTTCAATAAATTTCATATAATCTTGCCACAATAAATCATACTAGCAATATACATCACTATCCCAAAGGAAAGATAAGTTAACAGAGGCTATGCAAACTTCACACAACTATGATGATCTGGGTTAGTACCCAGGCTCAGGCTATTTAAAACTCATTCTGAATTAATCCTTAAACCGTCTCAAGAAATGTTTTTAGATTCGTGCCATATTACTAATAATAACATAATAATAACACATTTGTTGATTATGTACATAATATTAAGAACCAAGTATAGTAGTTACACAGCAACACTGTAGACTAGGCGGACCTTTATTTTCCTGGTTGGACTGTCACTAAAATGCTTCCTTTAGAATGCCACATTTATATTTTACTATTAATATATGAAACCCGTCGAAATCGATTGCTATCTTGAGGTTTCACTCAAATTCATAAAACTACGTTAGATATAGTGTAGTTATTAAAATCTTATTTGGATGGTATTTGGACCGTATCAGTGAATCGCCCTTTTTGGTCATAAGCAATACTGAATTTTTATCAGCGGGAGGCAGCTGTATTCCGAATCTTATGTAGGCCTATGTAGTAAATTCCCGTATAAAGAATGGTGGGATCTGATTTCAAGGAGATTAAACCTTGTATCAAGTCATCTTCTGTTGAAAAGGTTGTACCAGGAAGGAAGGTCAATCACTCTTGTGCTAAATATCCTCACAGTTGAAGTGCAGTGTTTTACAAATATCACATTCGAGAGCAGTGAGCCATTGTCGAAATAGATCACTATAAATCAACTGTCAAGATCATAGCATCTACCTCAGATTTCTCTACAAAAACAAACTTCTAATTGGCATCATAAAAATAAACTTAGTTGCTATTACAATTTCTCTCCTCTACCAAAACCATGGATCTTGAACGATAGAACTTGAACATGGCTCACTTCCTCAACGTACTCCTTTACACTTGCATGGTTTTTATTTTATGACACAATTTTCTCCCGAAAAAACTATACTATTCCGATTATAGAAAACATGTATGCTAATAATCTCACGAAAGCTCTTGCGTTTATTTTATGTAATAATAAATCATATTATTGAAATTAGACCAAAAAGGCGAGTACCAAACCCCTACAATAAATATACGCAAGCCCTATAAGGAATAATTATCTATTCCTTTAATATTCATATGTTCATAATTTTAGGCCTATTACATTTTCTAAATGCATTAAAGCATAGATTTTTTAACAATCAAATTTAAATCGTATCTTAATTTTTTTCTGTTTTAATTTATTAAAAACTTATCATTCAGGGGAAAATCAATTTTAAAACCACAAAATAATGTCACCATTTCACTTTTACAGATTTAAAAAATGTTTATATCACGTCGTGACCTTTACAATACGAACTAAGTATTAACAGCTGTGTCATAAAAACATTTTGTAAGCTTATCCATCTGGGGAAGGGCCTTTAAAGGCCTCTAGGCCATAGCCCCAAGGGACCTCGTTACCTCGGTACCTCGTACAAGATGTTACCTCGTTTCTCTTTTGATGGCTCATCTACAGACAAAGACCTTTCTTTAGACACCCCTACCAAATTCCTACGCGCAGCCGTTCTCTTAAAGCTGTGACAAAACCTCTGTTTCTTATCGTCCATAGAATAACAACATAGGAATGGAATTTTAAAGGCCACTGGGGCAGAGTCCAAAAGTAATTGACCTCTTTCTCTTTTGAGGGCTTATCTACACACCAAGACCTTTCTTAAGACACCTCTACCGAGTTTCTACGCCCAGTCGTTCTCTCAAATTAGTGGAGACAAAGAAAAACAGTTTCAAATCATTACATTGATAACATTAGGTTTAGTAAGTGCTTACGTTTGCTGCTATAGGGAAGGTAATTAAGTGTGTTTTAGTGACATTTTTTAGGGAGCTTGGTATGCAACAGATTAATTTGATCAAAATATATCCTAAAATACGCAGATTACATCTCAGGTTTATTTTACTCCTCACATAGCACAGGAATTTTAAATTAACTATTTAATGTATGAAATTTTGTATTTTATCCGTAATCATTCGCTTACCAATATGATTTAGTATGCTAAATTATCTTGTTTAAAGAAGTACAAAATTATTAGAAAAAGAATTCAAATTTTCATAATTTGAGATGTTTGTGGAATTTAATATAATACGTAAGTTTACACATTTGTTAAACTGATATATTTGAGGTCTCTTTTGGGACCTCAAAACGAAAAATTAAATCAGTCCCTAGATCTAGGTCTAGATCAGATCTAGGTTTAACCATGAGATCTGCGGTATTGGCTAGTTCCATTTTTGGAAATTCGTTGCAACCTAATTGGCTGATTGGAAGCAAACCTATTACAGTATTTCAGCTTAATGTAGGCCTACTATAACTGTATTTGACTTACCAGACTTATTTCCTGTCGCTCCTTAGCGGGAGTATAGGGCATCGAGAAGAGCTCGCCATCCATCCCTGTCCTGCACCAGATCCCTCAGCCGGCCCCTAGGTCTTCCCGACATTCAAAGCTTCCTTCGTTATTGTTCTTCTCCAGGTGTCACAGGGTCTCCCCCCTTGCTCGTCCCTTCGGGATTCCATTCCAGGGCCTTCTTATCAATTGATTCATCAGTCTTCCGAAGAATGTTACCCAGCCACCTCCACTTCCGTCTTCTGATGTCCAAGCTGATCTTTTTTTGCCCCGTTGCCTCCCAAAGCTGTTCATTTGAAATAGTGTTTGGCCAGAACACTCTCATTATACGTCTGAGACACCTGTTTACAAACACCTGGAGCTGAGAAGTACTACGCTGATCCATTTTCCAAGTTTCACTGGCATATAGAAGGACAGACTTGGCATTTGTGTTGAAGATGCGGATTTTGGTTTTCATTGGAACATTTTTATTTCACCATATTGGGTAACGCTGGATAAATAAATGTTGCATTAGCTCTCCCAATACGGCTCCTGACATCTTTCCTTGCTCCTCCGTCTGCTGTGCTTTGCTGTTGAGTTATTGGCAAAGAGTCAACCTCTTCAATCACCTTCCCGTTTAATTCTAAGGCTTAGGCTACTCTGGAGTCCAACCTCATTTTCTTTTTTTTTCATGATGGGTTAGCCTCTGGATCGAAAATTGCAATATAAAATGGTTTAGTTTACCTTTTGCGTCGAACGATCCTTGTGTAGTAAGTGATAACTACAGCTGTTTCATGCCGCTGGGGCACATCTTCAGGCCATTTTCTTTGTCTTATTCACATTTATCTTAAGGCCCACCTCTTCAGCCTCTCTTTGTAGAGAACTTAGTTTCGCCTGTATATCGGTGTACCTCTGAGCAATCAAGCAAAAGTCGTCAGCAAAGTCAAGGTCCTCCAGCCACTCCCTCAGTCCCCACTGCAGCACTTCCCGCCTTCTATTATTTGTTACTTTCCTCATAACTGAGTCGAGTGCCAAAAGGAACAGTATTGGTGATAAGATGCAGCCCTGGCGAACACTTATTTTAACTAGGATTGCTGCAGTCAACTTTCCCTGCTGCGAAACCTGACACTGGAAACCATTGAACATGGCTTTGATAATATTTATGATTTAAGGGGGCCATATTCTTGTAGAACATGCCACAGCACCTGGTGTTTCAATGCGTCAAAGGCCTTCTCGAAATCGACAAATGCCAGGCAGAGAGTACTTTGAAATTCTTTGCTCTGTTCTAGTAGGACTCAGAGAGTACTAATTAAATCCACACAACTTCTTGCTTCCTGAAAACCTACCTGTTATTTCCTTAGTTTCAGTTCAATGGATCCTTTTATCCGGTTTAGGATTATTCTGACCAGCATTTTGCTTAGGACTGACAAAAGGGTAACACCTCTCCGATTGTTACAGATTGTTACATCCCCTTTCTTTGGTATTTTAACAACTATGTCCTTCTTCCATTCCTTTGGTGTTCTCCCCTCTTGCCAAATCTGTCAAAGTAGTGGATGAAGTAGGTCCGTGGCGACATCGCCAGATTTTAGGATCTCGGCCGCAATATTGTCTAAACCAGGGGCTTTGCCATTTCTCATGCTTTTGACCGAATATTGTATTAATATTACTGAATACTGAGTAGCAATATTCATTTATTCTGCAAGCTTATGTTTGTTTCTTTTTACCTTTTCAGATTCGCGATGGTGATGATACATGTCCTACAATTCGTAAGTGAATGAACTACAAATGAATTACATTTAAGTTTAACTCTAATAATCCTAAATATATAGGAATATTACTGCTTTTAAAACCGTATCAACGCATCACAATGTTCAATATCAAGATTTAAAGGTTTTACTAATTTAAGTAGGAAATGACTAGAACCATTGCCAGATCATGGCACATCACTATTTAAATGCATATTATACTAATAATTATTTTAATAAATAAAATTTAAATTAAATTAACCTATACAAAATTAAATAAAAAATTAATAATTTTAAGATGCAAATTGTGTATATTTTTCTAAGAGTCAGTATTCTCGAGCTATCTGACATTCTAGCCAAATGTGAGTATAAGCATAGACAAAAAGAATTCTTTTTGTCTATGGCATAAGCCTATTTTGCGTGCTGTGTTTGCATGTTTTTTCCTTAGGTTAAGTCGTGTATAGTGTTTGGATATATTGACGATGCACATTGCATTTGTACAATGCCTAAAGGAAAATAAATCGAATTTCATTTCACTGCTATTTAAATAACTACATTCATTATTATTATTATCATTGTTGTATAATATTTAGTATAAGATTCGTACCTCTGTTTTAAAAGTCTGTTTAAAATTGTTAGTTCTATTTAATTTTTTACTGTATTTAATTTTGAATAAGGTGCTGAAAGTTAATCGTGTTTGTTCCTCGGTAATGAATGCTAAAATGTTTCTGTATAGTCGCTTAGTTATATTTACCACTGTGTATTATATCCCAAGTATGAGTGTACGCTTTAAAATTAGTAAATAGAACAACTATGAAATCTAGTTTCGTAGAACATCAGATCAAAACACGACATGAGTACAATATATAAATGAGCATTTAAAACTGTAGACTGTAGGGTATGGAAAAAAATTAATGTACCGGTACACCCCAATTTTTATTAGGACAATAGCTTTTATAATTAAAAAAGCGAACAATATAAAAAATAGCTACTTCCCTATAGGGAAATTCGCTAATACACCAAGGCATAAAAATGATTATGTAATTACACGTTAAGTAAGTTTAAACAGTCAAAAGCATTACTGTATCTTTCCACAATATTGCCCCTTGCCTTGATAGGTTTTGGTTTTGTTTTAAAATTGTAAAACTCAGTATAGTTTGAAAAACAAGCACTTTTTGCGTCTACAGTAAACATTAGGGTGCAAATCACTCTTATACTCCTGAAAACATAGGCTACCGGTACCTCAAAACCTTTAACTTTATAACTTCTCTGCATTCACTACAATAATTATAATGATTGCTTTCGTATAACTCCATCTTCGGTACAAATACATGTTTTTGTGTGTTTTTATTATAGACTTGATTGTTTGTGAGGGGAGGAATCATGGTCCAAGCACGTCAACCGAAGCTTATTGTGCATTATCATAGACTTAAGAAAATTTATGTTTTCATTGACCAAATAATATGCATTTCTGTGAGAATACACCAGGTTCATAAATGAACTATCTAACAGCAATATCTAATAATAAGTCTCAATTGAATTTCTAGTAATAATTTGGAAATTTACGTAATCAATGTTTGTTTATTTGCAGATTATACAAATGAACGAGATATTGGAACTCTCCTACCAGAACATGAATTGGTTGCAGAATATGAATTTACGCCTGATCCAAACAGTGGCCTCACTAAAAAGCTTACACTAAAATGCTACGAAAAGTCCATTATGAGACCTAATGAAAAAGATCAAACGGAGCGTCAGTTTTATTTGCAAGTTCTTAAAGAAGACACGTCCTCCTTAGGCATCATACAGAATGTTCGATGCGATTCTCTAAGCACACTTCGTGATTTTAACGTGAAAGAACACAATGAACACGACGTTAAATTGATTATTTTTACGGTCAAAATCACATGTCCTGCTACATTCTACTCTTTGATATCTTGTGAAAATTGTGAGGTGAAAAACTGGAAATATTACGATTGGGGAAATTCCTACAGTAAAAGCGATCAATGGAAAATGGTACGAAATATTACTCGAATCAAGTGGTGGCGAAGATTCCAAATAAGTGTCAGGGTGTCCCACAAAGACGTTTAAATTGTGGATTTAATATGAATTGACAATTTATGCGCTGAAAGATTTAAAACAAGTATAAAAACATGTTCTTAGCAAAAAATAGTTTCCTAACATATTCAGAAGCAAAATAGTCGCATATTGCAAGTTAATTATCTATATTATTGAAAGAATTTGTTGGATTTTTGTATTCAGCAAATCGACCCCTGAATATTTATTTTTATAGGCATAATGGGTATCAATTTTAAGTTCTTATCCTCTAGATGTGCCTTTTGCGGGTTTGGATGATATCTCGTGAAAGCTTTTCGTCCTATAGGCTTTTAAAATTTCAGAATTTTTGCTGGATTCTGTTGTCAATCATCTGAACTTTTTCAAGTTTAAATTTGTTTATATCAAAACAGATAGCCATAATACAATTTTGTTTACATCCATACGAAAATGGGACTATCATTACAGTTGGTGATGTTTTGGTGAATTCAAGTAAAATATTCTAATGTCATTTGTATAAAACGTAAAGAAGAAAATGACTTAAGTTAGATTCTGTGTTTTCGTAATATGTTTCATTAGTATTTGAAAAAAACTAATTACAAAGTTTTTAGGGTTTGCTTTGAAAAATTACAAGTCAGGGATAAGTCAATCATTAGTCTATCACGTAAAAATATATGATATTGAACAATAAAAAAGAGCAATAAAAAATAGCAAATTAATTCAAATATATCACGGATTTTTAAGTCACGAAGTGAGTGACGCTGGCTGCTAGTACTAATTACATTAACTTGTTACCTGGTTCGTTTAGTGGGTTACAGCTTTATAACTTATTTGTCACTTATTATCGTCACGTATGCTGAACGGCTGTTTGATTGAGGAATATTACTTTTGGTAATGTTACCGAAGAAATCAGACGATTTCAGGGTTTTTGTATACATCACTTTTTGAGTAACATCAAAAGTTATTCCTAGAAATTGAGTTTTCATAAAAGGGTTTTAAAACTACATAACAGTAAACATATCAGGTAATAGCTGAAGAAAGTAGTAATTGGGAAACAAATTAAAAAAAATGTTCACCACACCACCCTTTCAAAATATTGTGCTAAATTGGGCAGGTAATTTAAAATCCAAGTTTAAACCTCTTCTTGGGGCACCCTGGATGTATAGTTGAGATTTATATTTATGTTTCTCATATGGTAAAAAAAAATACCATATGAGAATACTATGTCTCAGACTAATTCCGATTTCCATTTATCTGTACTGTTATAATTGAAAAGATTAGAAATAAAATGTTAAAATATACTTAATTTGTATAGGAATTTTATTTACATATTAAAATATCTCCTCTGAAAAACAAAGTTATAAATTTCACTCTTGAAAATGGAATGAATACTATGTATGATAACCGACAGATATCAATAGCTACTAAATAATGTCAAGGTAGTTTTTTTTCTAGCTGTAAAAAATCCATGCTTCAAACTTGTAATTTACGTTTAAACAGTAAATTACATAGTTATGTATCAAAGCTCATAACATTCCGTACATTGTTCTATTGGAAAAATTATTTAACAGTCGAAGCAGATTTCATGTGCTCTTATAATCTGTTTTCATGGGTGTTTTCTGTACTTGTTTTTCGATGTACGGCCGAGAAATCAAACTGGAATAGTTAGAATAGCGATTTCATAGGCTATATAAATAGTTGTGAGCAGAATGGATGTATAGTGATGTAAAAAATTTCCTGTGTGTGCAAAATAATTTATAAGTCTATAAGAGTGGGTAAAAGATTAGGCATTTCGTAACTGGGCTAAGTTTACGTCATTTATACCACACTCCTTTGCTTATGTATTGCTTATATATTGACTTGACGAAGCACGCTCTTAGTACTCCATTCAAAAAATGTAGACGGTTTGAGGGGCAGCGATTCCATCCCCTCCACTCTAACGTTGAAACTACAACCGACAGCTGATCAGATGATACGAGAGATTAAGCTAAAAAGTAGTGGGGGTTTCCAGGAAACCTTCCCCTGAAACCACCGACATTTGTGAATGGACTTTGGTGAGTCCGGCTTCAACGGTTAACGATAGTAACAGAATCTACTTATGACTTGTAAAAACTCTATTTTTTATTTTTTCAGCTACCCACTGCATTTTGTAAAGAATTCCAAGGTGAGTATGACTTATAAGTTTTGCTGAAATTATTTTCGTCGTATGCTATTTATAGAATAACTAGCTGTTTGCCCGTTCTACGTACGGGAATCTAGTAGTAAGTTAAAACCTTATATTCAGAACAGGAGTTGGTTTGCATATTTAGTGTGCATTTTTCCAGATATGATGGCAAAACTATAACTGTTTAGGAATACATATAAACCTTCTCAAATACAATATCTGACAGTTTCAAAGCCATAACGAATGCTTTGCAATTAAATGTCACCCGATCGTGTTAGTCCATATTTTATATCAAACGATGAAAATAATTGCTTTACAGTATAGGTCTATGAGGCATAGCCCTAAGGTAGGCCTGTAATTTAAAGTTACTTTTCACACTGGTTAAAAGAAGTTAAAACACTACCTCAACCTCACTACTGCCCACTTTATTCGGGTCGAAATTGTTATTAACAATGGTGCTCTTGTCTTTTCCACGAAAAATAAGGACTTAATTGCGTTACTAACAGACATACACACACAAATACAGAATTGAGTCCACACAACATTTTTGAGTCCAGACAGAAAACGCTAAAAATTATACAGTAATACATCAATTAAATTTAATAAGCAATAAGGTGCAGTGTTTATAAATAAATAGTGAAAATGAAAATAGTGATATGTTTTTATGTAAAAATTATTCTTACTGCTACCACCGGTTCAAAGGAAAAGTAGCAGTACCAAAAACCAACGTTTACATTTGAGAAAAGAACTGTAGTATTTACGACTAATTCAAACTGTCCTTCTAATCAAACTGTATTATAGGTGCTAATTAATCTGTTGGCAAATATATAAATAAATAAATACACAGGCCACAAAACATGTAACATGTAACTTTAACAACGTAAAGCTTTAAAAACTTACTATGGTTTGCTAAAAAAACTTTCACTTGATGTGGTGCAGTACCGAAGTTATTAATCTCCTTTGGTTTTAATTTTTTTTTTTTTAGTTTTCGAAAATCAAAGTTATTTCCCATTAATAGCATTATTTGTAAGCAGCTTTTAATGTTAGCATATTAATGGCAGTTTGAAGAAACCACCTTTATCCAAACAAAGGTTTCTCATTTAAAAGATTACGTAATCTCTAAACGATAATCGGTAGGTACATATATTTAGCATACATTCGGAGGAAATGTGACAAAAAAACGCACAAATCTGGGGTTTTGTACTTTTGTTGTTTTATTTCCTAAGTAGGAAAAGTACCGATATCGTTGTCGAAATGTAAGTAAGTAGAAACCAAAAGTGACACATTGGAAAAGCGAGTTTAGCCTACATCTGTTAAGTTAAACCTCCGTTACGGTACGATCACAGCGAAATCAGACAGATCTTCCAAGATCGCAGCAACATCCACGATCACCCACTGCAGTTGTAATTTTTTACTTTGCACTTTACACAACTGTCCTTGAAGCGCCGTCAATGAATGGAAACCTTTGTAAGCTACGGTATTGGTGCCGATGATTAAAAAAAAAATAAGTTTCCTTGCACTAATACAACACTGATTCACGGTATTTTCCCCGGTTATCAAAACTCAAGAACAATCGTTGCACTTGCGATTAATTAAACCGGTTAAGTAAGGCACAACGTTTTTAATCTCACTTGGTTTGGATGTGCTGACTAAACTTGATCGGAAATGGTTGCGGTATTTGTAAACAACTTTTAATGTAAACATATCAGTGACAGCTAGAAGTGAGAACTAATCCAAACAGCTGATCGTTATTTCATAAAATGTAATAGTAAACATTGGGAGAAAATTTGACAAAAATCTAACAAAATTGGGTTTTTGGTGGTTCGTTATTTTGTTTTCAAAGAAGCGAGGCCATGTTTTTTATAGCCAAAGACACTCTCGCCAATCCAGTAAATACAGAAAAACGATTAGAACCTTGATCGTTACTCTAGTTTTCTAGGAGTAGGCCGCGTAAAATGACATTTTGGCGTTACAGACGGAGTCACAGAATGGACAAACAAACAGACAAACAGACATACAGACAGAAATTGAGATAAGACTCGTTTCGGCTTTCTTAGGCTATGAAACGTAAAAATAACCAAAAACTGCATGATTCTAAGCAATGTACAGACAAAACTGTAATTTTATTTATATAGATTAATTATTAAAACTCATTTTAAGTAAACTCGATCAAAACTATTTATTTACAAAAACTAACCAATAATGTAAACAAACCAAATAGCAGATGATTCATAACTTTATAACTCAGCTGATAACAATAATCCTACATTTCTCCCCACCCAATTTAGGCTGAGTTTCCGAAACTCACTTTCAGGTTCCATTTGCATTTTCCATTGGGGTGGATCAGTTGCACCTTCTCTTGCTCTCAGCTGGTCAGCGTGTTTTCTCTTTATTTCTCCCCCAACTAAAACTGTGTGCCCTCTCGTCCTTTCTTATACAATTACTGGTCTCCAGCCCTTCTTCGTTTCATTTTGAACCCACACTTCTTGTTTGATAGAAAACTCCTTTTGTTTGGATTTTAAGTCGTGATAGTACTTCTGTCGCCACACTTGATTCTCTATTCTCTCTCTGCTGTTACTACTCCACATATCCAAAGCTGTTGGTATTCTTCTACCATAGAAAAGGACTGATGGTGGTTGTCCTGTGGTCTTTTGTGGCATTGTGGGTTGTTCCGATAAGCAAGCAACACTTGTAAAAGTGCAAGTGATGAACTGAGACCTTCTTGTTTGCAAGCACTGTATCTACTCTTGAACGTTCTGATAATCCTCTCTACTGAACCATTGTTTTTTGGATGATACGGTACCGATGTGACATGACATATGTTATTGTTCTTACAAAAAGTCTTAAACTTTTTGGACGTAAAGGGGGTGCCATTATCGGATACAATTTTTTTAGGAACGCCGTACCTCGAAAACCAAGTCCTTAATCTATTTACAAGAGCAGCAGTTGTTGTACGGTCCATTACTTCAATCTCGACCCATTTTGAGTAAGCATCGATTCCTACTAACCAGAATCGGTTGTCGAATGAGCCTGCGAAGTCGAGATGAATTCGCTCCCAAGGATATAGAGGTACTTCTGTGTCAAATGAGCGGTTACTCTGGCAAGGGTGGCATATACGGACATACAACTCAACATCCTTATTCAGATTATGCCACCAAACATAATACCTTGATAGGGACCTCATAGCCTCTATTCCAGGACGTCCTTTGTGGAGTTCTTTCAATACATTTTCTCTCAAAATCTGTGGCACCACAACTCTTCCTAATCGCATGATTATACCGTTTTCTAATGTCAGCTCTTCTCTCTTATTCCAATATGGTTTCATGGATGGTGGTAAGTTTCCTGTATCTTTTGGCCAACCATGTTCCAGGTAGTCTATAAGTTTCTTCATATTTGGGTATTTCTTATACTCCAGTACAAGTTCATGATTTGGATAACTTTCTCTTGAACCAATGCTCGAATCTCTTTCTCATCTTGATCCAATACTTATTGTGTCTTGAGTGAAAACCGAGACAAAAAATCAGCCAAACAATTATCCTGTCCTTTGATGTACTGGATCTCAAAATCATACTCCATTAAATACAAAGCCCAACGAACCAAACGGTTGTTTACTACTTTGGTAAGACCTCGATGCATTTCGAATATTCTTTCAAGTGGCTTGTGGTCAGTCCACACCATGAAAGGCTCCCACTGAGGTATTGTCTATACTTCTTCACTGCAAAAACTAACGCCATCGCTTCCTTGTCAACTGTAGCACACCTTTTTTCCGTACGTGTTCTCGAGGCGTACATGACTGGCCTTTCCGTTCCATCCGGCATCAAATGTAACAGTACTACACCAACCCCTTGTTCACAAGCATCACATTCAACAATGATCGGCTTTGATATGTCGTATGGGACTAATGTCTTCTCTAATGACAGGATATTCTTCAACTTGTCGAACGTAGTTTGTTCGGTCTCAGCCCATTTCCATTTAGTCTTCGTACCAGTCAGCTTATGCAAGTTCGAAGCGATCACATGAAGATTAGGTATATACCTTTCGTAAAAATTTAGCGCCCCTAGAAAAGCTCTTATTCTTTCACGTTTCTTGGCCTTGGTGCGTGTCTTTTGGTTTCAACTTTGTCTTCGGAGGGATGAATACCATTCCCATCTATTGTATGACCTAAATACTTTACGGATTTCTGAAAGAACTTACATTTTGACAGTTTTGATCTTATTCCACTTGATTATAGCCGACTCAAAACTTCTCTAAGAGTGGTTATATGGGTAGTCTTATCCTTGCTAGAAATGATTATATCATCAAGTAGAACTCCGACATTAAGTCCTTTTAGTAAACTTTCCATGTACCTTTGAAATTTTGCCGGACTCGAAGAAAGCCCGAAAGGCAACCTTTTGTAGCAAAAGCAACCTACATGAGTTGCTATCGTAAGATACTTTTGTGACTTGGGGTGTACTTTAATTTGCAAGTACGCATCTCGAAGATCTATGACTGAAAATATCTTTCCATCAGTTAATTTGGAAGTCAAGTCATCAAAGGTTGGCAAGAGGTGTCTTTCCGGGACGATGTTTGGATTCAAAGTTGTACGAAAATCGCCACAGATCCTTACTCTACCTACACCCTTGTCTACGTTGACTGTTGGGGTACTCCATTCTATTGGTGTTTCGGAAGGGTCCACTGCTTCCAAAACTCCTTCCTGTACTAATCTCTGTAATTCTCGCTCCACTGCCTCCCTTAAGGGGAATAGAACTCATCGCGCCCCGTAAGATACAGGTGTTGTCTTACGGTGTTGTCTGACTTCTTTTATTTAGATGGATAACTTCATTAGAGTCGGATATAGTTCCTAGCTCATCACGAATGAGTTCGGGAAACTCCTGAGTTAATGCCTCAACTTCTTTTTGTAACTCTTTTCTATAACTTTCTTCATTCCCTAGGCAAATTAAGATTGAAAGCTACACTCCACGGCAACCTAAGTAATGAAACATCATCTTCTAGTAATGCAA